TAATCACTGCTTCCCTTCCTAATTTTGAAACATTGTCGCAGTCAAATTCACCCATAGACGTAAACCTCATAACTTAAATGTAAAAAGACGTTCAAAATCACCAATGAACAATAGACTATGCCTAGCCTTCAAAACCGTTTCATTGTCACAGAAATAGCCTGTTCGCCACTATCGGGCCACTCCATAAGCAGTCACAAGCTTTGATTAAGTAAGGTTAAAGTGAGGCTGGAAGAGTCAACCAATAGAGTTAAAGGGAACATGTGCAAAGCAGTCAGAACTGTTTCATTGTCGCATATACCCTGCTCACCCCTTTTGGGCCACAGTTATAAGCACCCAGACGCGCTGATTAGGTAAGCGAACTTTTACACTGGTCGAGTCTACCTCACAGATGTGAGGGGAACTAACTCCTAATAATCCTTTGACTCCTGCTACTACACTGCTAGTGCTTGTTTTTTTTCCCTCGACTTTTTAACGTCCTATAATCAGGTTGTGACCTCGATTATGACACCGGCTCCTGGCCGCGAAAAGCTAGACAAAAAAACCCAGCCAAATGTGAAATAAAAAAATTAATAATTGGCATGCTCTACCAAAGTGTTTCGGCTGTCTGGTATAACATGCCATTGTAGTGCTGACATCTCTGCTTCTTTCCTTGGTGTTCGTGTGTTCAAATCTAAAGTTAAATTTAAGGTTAGTTAGAATAAATATTTAATGAAATACTTTTCCGATTATTTTAGCGGTTGAACAAGCATACAACATGAATTCAGGATTTGTTTTCATTCACAACCCAGAGTTGCCGCCTCCAGTGCCAGTAAGATTCTTGTGACTTGTGTGAGTGTGATATCTCCAGGCCCTATTTGGTTCCATTTCACTTTGATTACCCTGTCAAACAAGTCAGCCTTCGCCCCTGATCATCATCATCATCATCATCATCATCATCATCATCATCATCATCATCATCATCGTTCGTCCATTAATGCCTGACAATGGCCATGGCATTCGCGGAGGAGAGCAATTTTAAAGCGAAATAGAAAAATTAAAGAGATGAAGTAATGGAGTTACTGAAACCAACCTTAAAGTAATACCAACAAACGTTTATGCTTATAAACGGAAATTTATGTAACGCAGGTATGCATCTTTATTAACAAACCGGTAAAGGTAAATTTCGACCCCCTTGCCTTATTCTTAAAATATAATCCTGAAAGGATATTTCGCGCTGACGTCACGAAGACCCAAAATGGGACCCATTTAATAGAGAGTGGAGACCCGGGATGAGCGTAGTAGGTCATAATGTGAGTTCCGAAAGGAGGGCTCATGTTGTGGTTTACTTTTATGGAAACTACATCAGTAGTTATCATATCATAGCATATCATCATTATCTGCCTACCCTGTAGTCTGGAATCTTGTCCTCGTTCTGGTGCTTCAGATAGATGGGGTCTACGTTGAAGGCATCCACCAGGTAGGATCTGTTCTGTATCCTGGGGGAACACGCAGGAAGCATTTGTATGAGGCAGCGAAGTGAAATCAGGCGCTCGTCAAAATAATGAAATTGAACCCCCTCCCACCAACCCCCCCCCACCTGAAAAAAAAAACAAACAACCAACAACCCCCCCAAAAAAACAAACAAAACAAACACAACAAACAACAACAAAACCCCCCCCCCCCCCCAACAAACCTAGTTATTTTTCTACAAGTTTGGAAACTTTTATCGCATTTTTTGGTTTTTTTTCTCATGACTATTAAAGAGCACATTTCTGGGTTCTTCTTCTTCTTCCTCGTTCTGTGTTGATTTTACTGAAAAGCGCTGATTAATGGCACAAACTAATATAAATTTTCAGCTTCCCCCGACTGTAAAGCTAAGGAACTAACCAAGTTTTTGTGGCCATTTTATTGCTTATTTTTACTTTTGAAACAAGGCGTCTCTCACCGCTTTTAGTAACAAATATCCCGACTTGTATTCAAGATATACGAATATTTTTTACAATCGATAGCAAGACTAATGAACAATCTTTGATATGGTATCAATAACTTCTCATGCCCAAAACTGACGAACATCTGATTCCACTGCGTCGTGTCACACGGTGAAAAAAAGCGCTCGTTAATTTTTGAGCATGTAGAGTTATTAATATCACCCGTAAAGCTAGTTAGTTTGTCCTGCTTTTGACGAAAAAAATATCCATCTATCTCGAATGGAAGACGAAATATTTGCGATGAACGGAGGCAGGAGCTGCCTGGTGCCAAAAGGCCAAATTAGCTAGTAAATGACCGCCAACGTTTAATGACTTCCAAAGCTTGAGTGCACTTGAAAACAGCAAATCTACACTTTGTGCCTTAGATCAACTTTTCTAAGTAAGATCCACATATGTTTAAATGGACTTTTAATGTGTTAAGAAGAGAAAGACAAAATATAAAAACGATAAAAAAAATCGCATATTTGGCAGAAACATATCTGTTTCTTTGATTTCATTATTTCAACAAGCGCCTGATTTCAAGACAACATCAATATTCCCCTCAGTCTTCCTCTCCTTCTCACTATCGGTCTTTCCCTGCTTTTGTCTCCCCTCTCTCTCTCTTCTGTATCACCAATGAGTCTACATAACAAGAGGGGCCACTTCTCTCTTTGAGCCAATTAAAAAAGTGTCCTCAAAATTCGGTGGCGCCCTCTTCGCAAAAGCGCATCTTTCGCGAACAGAGTTATCCTACTTGAGTTTTAAAAAATCAAAGTGAAACTAGCAAGTTTTTGAATGAATTTTGGAAGAACGCTTTTTTAAAATGGTTACGCTGACAAAAAACCTCTTCCGGAGGAAAGGGTGATTGTTTTCTTCGTTTAATTTGACTTTAAAATGAAAGGCGAGAGGTCATTAAAATATAAATAACCTAAAACTCCGCACTGAACGAACCCGAACTACTGATGAACAGCAGTCGATCTGCGCACGCAAGGAGGTGCTATTCCTATTCTTCTTCTGGAAAAACGAAAGAGAGCTTCAAAACAGACTGCAGCGCCATCTGAAGCAAAGAGCATACTTCCTGCGGACACTTTTTTGGCTGAGTGGCCCATCTTGTTATTTACTATCTTTGGTATCTCTCTTGTGGCGTCGGTAGCCTAGTGTTTAGGCTACAGGACTCGTAATCGTGAGATCGTGGGTTCGGGGATTCGAGCTTCTGCTCGGTCCGACGTTGTCTCCTTGGGAAAGGCACTTTACACGAACTTCTCACTTGGCTCGGTCCTATCGGAGACGGACGTTAAACTAGGAGGTTTCGCCTCTTAAATAACCTAATAATGTTGATAGGGGCGTTAAACCCATAGCATTTCACCATTTCATTTGTATCACTCTTCCTCTCTTCTCCCTCTCTCTCTCACTCTCTCACTCCCCCTCTCTCTCTTTTTTTCTCCCTCTCTTCCTCAACACAACGCAGATTGCTTCATTATACTGGAAAAAAATACTCCATTCTCTCCATCATTGACACAATTTCGATAATTTAGAAAGAGGATTGTTTCTAACCTTTCTGTCAAGGGTCAACCCTTGCTGAAAGGACTTATATAACATTTCAGCAGACAGACGGAGATACACAAACAAACAAACAAACAAACAAACAAACAAACAAACACCCAACCCGCCAACAACAACAAAACACCACAAAAACAAACAAAATACCCCCCCCCCCTTTACACGTAAAAGGCTTTTTCCAAAATCATCACCATTCGGCAATCGAACTCATGTTTTCTACGTCACACGACGACAAACAGCCTAACCTCTACACCATCAATGCCAGTGAAAGATGAGTGAGTAGACGACAGTCAGTCAACTTACCACATGACAGAGAGGTCAAAGTTCACCAGCATCCATTTGTGAGGGTTCATACTGAAGGTTTCAGCGTACTGTAGAGAAAACAGGAGCGCGCTAAACAATAACGAGATTACCCGACTGAGGACGCGCATTCTGGTTGTTCAACAACACTCGATGACACGCGGCTTTGGGGCACTTTTAAAAAGAAGTTTTATCTACGTTTTCATAGGCCTGCATTTTTTATTTTTGGTCTCTGAAACTACCCCCCCCCCTCCAAGAAATAACAAACACATAAATAAACCAACCCAACAAACCCACAAAAAAAGACCCACAAAAAACCAAAAAAAAAACAAAAAAAAAAAACAACCCACTAAAGAAACTACCAAAAGCACCCTCCAAAAAATAACAACCTAAAAAACAAACAACAAAACAAACCAAAAACAAACCCAAATGAAACAACCAGAAAAGCAAAACAAAACACCCCCACCTCACCCAAAAAGAAAAAAAAAACCCCCAGCGTCTGTGGTGTAGCTCGTAAACACTTAGTAGCTTGTAGTAGCTTGCCCCCTGAATGATCTAAATTGGTTCGATGGAGGGGTTAAAACAAAACCAAAAAAAATTGAAAAGATAGGCGAAATGGACATTATGTCAGTTCGTACCTCTCATAATTTGCGCTTGAAGGTTTGAAATGTGTCGCAACATTGCCCTATTGACCGAGACGAATCTATCCGCTGGACAGCCCCAACTGGAGAGCGGCAGCCACAGTGGGTAGCAAATACTTTTAAAAATAAGAAGTGTTGAAACGAAGAGAGAAGCCCTCAAGCTGCGCACATTCTAAAGTGGAAAAGTTCAAAATGTGGCAAACTTTTCTCTCCCAGAATTGGTCTCATCGGCCACAGCAAAAGCCCCACGTTATCTTAACCTTCGAACTCTTCTATTTCGCTGGAGAAATAATATTCTCCTCTGCTGATGAATTGGTCAGCGCCAGAATTGATGGACGAGCTACTATCATCATGTGTTCGCTGAGCCCTTAAAGAGGTAATGAAGGTAAGTTTTCTCAAGGACTGATGGTTTTCAGTCAATTCGAGAGTCAATGAATGCTTACTAAGTTCGAAAAAAGATGCAAAGGCCATTGGCCCAATTTCTATTACCCGAAGTATAACAACATTTACAAACTCCAAATACAAACAAAACAAAACGAAGCAAAACAAAGAG